TGATTCCTCACTTGCCCTGAACATAGTTGTCTCAGCCCATTTTCTGCTGCTATGACAACACTGCTGTCTGGGTAACTGAAAAAGAATAGGAATTTATTGGGCTCATAGTTCTGGAGGCTGAGAAGTCCAAGAGCATGATGCCAGCATCTGCTGAGGGCTATCCGTGGTGGAAGGCATCCCATGGCAAGCAAGCATGCAAGACAGGAAAAAAAGAGGCCAAAGTCCCTCGATAACCAGTTCCAGCAGTAGCAGCCTTCATCCATTCCTGAGGGAGGGGCCGTCACGCCCTCATCACCTCTACACTGCCATGGTGGCAGTTGTTTCCAACACAGGAACACATTGAAACCATAGCAGTAGGAGATGCTCTTCCTTCTTCAAAGTGGATTAGAACCCCTAGGAGGCTCCCCAGCTGTGCCAGGCTCTGCCTCCAGGGCTCAGGCTGTAGTAAGTTTGGGCTGAGGACAACAGAGGGATAACCCAGGAAGCCCATTCATCTTTTCCGTGATACTTGAAATTCTTATCTTCTTTCCAAGGCTGCCCACTACTACTGACTCTTCCCAGCCCTCACATAGCTGTTCTGTGCCTTCTGTCCAGGTTTTATAAAGACATTCAGTAGAAGAAACGAGTATGGAGTGCTTGCTTCATTTTACCTGGAACCAGAATCCCCCTTTCCCTCCATCTTAGTGTTTCAGGTTAGTTTATTCTGGCTGCTTTTGATGGCCAGGCAGCATTAGGTCAGATAGCTGTGACTTGTGCCAGGGACACCAGCTCCTGGGGATCCCCCTTCCAGGCCAGTGGTTGCTACACAGGGACGTCCTGCAGGAGCTAGGGCCCTGCTCTTTCTTGCTCTCTGTTGTTCTTTGTTGGCCATGGCCACAGCACAGCTACTGAGATGCTCCCCAGACACAGGCCCCCAGGTAGCACCTGTGTATGGGCCTCGGTGTGCCCCTGCTAGCTGCAGCCTGGCTAAGGAAAAGTCCCAAAACCTGGGCGGCTGAAGGACACCCCTTCCCCCCAGGAAACCACATGGACCTTAACAGGTCACCACCCAGGGACCCGTGATGGTAGAGAGAAAGGAGACTCCTCCTCAAGAACTTGGAAGCATAATGGTCTGCCTCCCAGGGAAGAGACCCTCAGTGCTTGTCTGAGCCCTGATCTCAGAGAAGGCCAGCTGCCTGGCCAGCCCTGCTGTTGACGGTGCTCTGAGCCTGGCTATGTGCAGCGGGTACACAGGCGTGCTGGCTGTGTGCAGCGGGTACACAGGCGTGCTGGCTGTGTGCAGCGGGTACACAGGCGTGCTTGCTGTGTGCAGCGGGTACACAGGCGTGTTTGCTGTGTGCAGCGGGTACACAGGCGTGTTTGCTGTGTGCAGCGGGTACACAGGCGTGCTGGCTGTGTGCAGCGGGTACACAGGCGTGCTGGCTGTGTGCAGCGGGTACACAGGCGTGTTTGCTGAGGTGGCTCTTAGCAGATTATCACAGAGGAGAGATGGACACCCAGGATAAGGAAGTGATGTGTCTGAGCTCAGCGGTGGCAGACCCGGGCTGGTCCCGGTCTGTGTCCTCCTGCCGTGCTCTGGTGTGTGCTGTCTTCCTTATTGGAGCTAGGTTTGGCTGAGTTCGTCCAGGTTCAGGTGTCAGGCCTGCTCAGAGCCTTGAGCTCCACTCCATGGTGTGGCATGAAAACACCTTGCGTAAAAACCCAGTGTCTGTGAAACAAAACGATTTCTCCCGTGACCAGCATCAGAAAAGGGCACCCAGAACCTTGGCGGAGGATGCACAATGCAGGCAGAGAGTTTAGAAAACAGTCTTCTCTGGGTAAGGCAGTTATGGGTGCACACTTTTTTTTTTTTTTTTTTTTTTTGAGACAGAGTCTTGCTCTGTCCCCCAGGCTGGAGTGCAGTGGCACAATCTCGGCTCCCTGCAAGCTCCACCTCCCAGGTTCATGCCATTCTCCTGCCTCAGCCTCCCGGTGCACACATTTAAATAGCCGTCCAAGCCGAAATGAAAATAGCCATGTCCTTCAGATGCAGAGACTCCAAGAAGCAGGTCCTCTCCCTTGACCCCAGCCACGGAAGCCCAGCCCAAGGTACCCAGCACCACAGGACAGGCAGGAGCAAGTGTGAGTTTAGGAAGGAAACAAGGGAAGTAAGGGGTAAGAGAGAGGAACATCCAGAATGTGGCATTCGGAGGCTGCGTCATAGAGCCCCCAGGTCTCAGGGCTGCTCTCTGGGGAGGCCCATGGCTAAAGAAGGCTGCTGGGGGGCGTTGTTTTTTGTTTTTTGAGATGGAGTCTCACTGTGTCGCCCAGGCTGGAGTGCAGTGGCGCGATCTCAGCTCACTGCAACCTCTGCCTCCCGAGTTCAAGTGATTCTTCTGCCCCAGCCTCCCAAGTATCTGGGACTGCAGGCGAGCACCACCATGCCCAGCTAAATTTTTTTGTTTTTAGTAGAGATGGGGTTTCACCATCTTGGCCCGGATGGTCTCGAACTCCTCACCTCATGATCCGCCCGCCTTGGCCTCCCAAAGTGCTAGGATTACAGGTGTGAGCCTCTGCACCTGGACCAGAAGCCTGCTGTTTTAATGGTTGCCCCTTTGGGCCACCTGAAGTGATTGTGCCAGCTACTGAGGACTGATGTGGTCACCTCAACCTCAAGAACTTCCGTTTTCCACATGCGTGAATGTCTGCGAGTGGATTTCACTCAATTTTAGATAATGATGCTTAACAGCAAGGGTTGCCCCTCTTCAGAAACAGGTGTTGTTCAGCCATGTGATTTCACATAGGCTGGGGTTAGAAGCACTGTGCTCTTTGAGAGCTGCTTCAACTAATTACTGCATTTGTTCACTGCAGGGTGAAACTGAGTTTTCAGATACATTTGTAAAATCAGGCGCCTGATTGCCAAATACTGCATTGTTTGAGCTATACTTCCTCATATGTTGCCTGGTACGGACCAGTTAAGAAATGGTTTCCCATGAGAAGCTGACAATGAAGCTGAACGTGTTTGATAAACTCTGTGCTCATCTATGGACATATAATTGTTTTATTATACGACACTTTTACACTTGGAAAGAAAGGTGCTCCGTAATTTGGCAGCAATTCGTCAGAGCAGCACTCGAGGCTGGCGCTCAGATGAGGCCCTTGGAACCGTGCCATTGTTTCTCGGAACTGCTCTGCACTCCGGTTAGGTTTGCGCACACCTCCCTCGTTTCATTCCTACAAGTTGAGTAAAGTTCCAGGCCGTTCTCCCAGAACACCTAACAGAAAGCACGGAAAACAAAACCACCAACTCTGTCTCGCCGAGGAAGACGGGAAACTGGCCTCTGCTTCTGCGGTATTGATGTGCTGCTTTCATTGTTTCTTTTCCAAGACAGCTGTCCCAGAAATCTCTTTTCCTCCAAGTCAACAGCAGGCTACCTCGCTTTGCTTTGCTTTTTTTAAAAGTTAGGCATAACAACAACAGCAACCATAATAATGATTAGCAGTTTGATTTCAAAACGCTTTCTGAAGAAATGACAGTAAACAGAGTGCATTTGCCCAAGGAAACCCCCCAGCCATCAGCCGGTAATACAACTGCATGTGCTAATGAACCCGAAGCTGTTAATGTGGTTTCTTCAGTTAAATTGATTCATGAATTTTGAAGAGAACATTATCTAATGAATTTTCTTTGAATAGAAAGCAATTAAAAGGACAAATCAGTCTGATTAACCCCAAAGTCACCCTCCTGCCACAAATGGTGTACAGTTTGAAATTATATCATAAAAAACTAGAGCACATTTGCTATCTTTTTGCCCTCTACTAATCCATGTAAATTAATGAACAACAAAGTTAATTTCTTTGATGACCCTTTTCTAGTATCACCTGGATTATGCTGATGTTTAATTTGCTTAATGTTATAATAAAGACTAAACAGATTTTTTTTTCCCAGTGAAGTGATTATCGTTCCCTTCAGTTAAGAAGTGATTTTTATTATTTAACACACATGTAAGGGTGTGTGTCCTTAAAGAACCAAATCGCACTTTGCCAGCTTGGCACCAAGTGTAATTAGTGTTCTTGTGGACACACTCGGAACCTCGTTCCTGCCCGCGGAAGCTTTCCCTTTGTTGCCGCTATTGAGAAACTCCTGTCCCTGGAGGGCTGAGCCCCTGCGATGGAGGACGTGGCTCTGTCTCCAGTGCTCCTGAGCTGCATGTCCCGCTTGGAAAGACAATAGGTACTGATTCAGACCGGCCTTCTTCACATGCCCGGGTTTCTCTCCCGCCGACACCACCCCCAGGTAACAGTTCTGAAACCTGGAGGCAGAGGGAGAGAATGTTCTCCTGCGATCGCCGCCTCATTCCTGCAGCAGGGCGCGGCACAAATGCAGTTGGATGTGGTTACTCAATTTAAATGGGAATCAAGTCATTTTATTTTTGCAGCCCCATTCACTAAAGATGCCTGTAGCCAAGGTCACCGCCAGCCCCTGCGTACTGTGGTGCTTGGCACTCCGAGCAGTAGCTGGGGGAATCCCGCGCACGGCTGGATGTGGACAGCCAGCATAATATCGCAGCCTGGCCTGTGGCTGCTTTTGCCTTCTTTGTCCCAGTTGAAGTTGGAAATTAACCAGCAGTACAAAAGATTTCCAAGTAGGCGGGCAGCAGGGACTTCTGTGCGTATTAATTGAACCATGCGCTCACTTACACACGCCCAGTCGCTACAAGGGTGGCACACGCAACGCCGCGTGGAACACGGGGTTGGAGGGAAGGTAGAAGGAAATTGCAAACCTGCAGTGCCAGCTCCAGGGATGCCTTCCAAGGGGCCAGCCTGCGTGGTGGCCTGCCACACGCTCGCGTCTCCTTGCCTGGTGACATGGTGGCGGAGCGGTGCATGGAGGCTGTGTTTTAATTGAGTATAACACCTCTATTTGTGTCGATGCATTTCCTGTTTTGGGACTAGCGGCTATTTATATCAGAGCTGCTGAAGCCATTTGTCCAAATAACATCATCCTGCATTCTTCCTTTCAGAGTCGTTCACCAGACAGGTGTTATGGAAGCTGCTGAAGGTTGTGAAATTCGGAGAAGTGATTTCTTACCAGCAATTAGCAGCCCTGGCAGGCAACCCCAAAGCCGCGCGAGCTGTGGGAGGAGCAATGAGAAACAATCCTGTGAGTTCTCGTGGCGTGGGCATGGCTGTGGGTGGCGGGTGCGTGCAGGCGGCAGGGCGTCATCTGATCCCACGTGTTTCCCCAGAAGGCAGGCTGTGCTGCTGGGGTGGGCAGAGGGGCAACATCTGTGATGGGGACCATTGTGCCAGATGCCTCCAGAAGAGGCAAGGAAGCTACCCCAACACCACACTCCTGGAAGCTCCCCCACCCCCGGAGCACGTCTCCACTGCATGAGCTCCTGGTTGTCCCAGTGAGCAGGAGAGGAGGGAGCCTAGAGGAGTGGCAAGCGGGCAGAGGGGGCCCCACCTGCTCACTCAGCAGGTGGAAGTGTTGGGTGCCAGTTTTATGGTCCACACTCTTCTGGGTGCCCAGAGTACAGCAGCTAACAAAACAGACAAAAAGGCCTACCTGCGAGGTGCCTGCATCCTAGCAGGATGGCCGAGCAAGGGTACACATCCAACCCCATCTCTCTGCGGGCTGCAGTCCCCCTGAGGCCCAGGGCTCCCTGGGTCTCAAGAGCTAAAGCATCACATGGGAGCACACAAGGCGGGGGGCCTTGCAGCATGGGACGAGGGACCTGGACCACACACACCTCCTGTCTTAGCAGGGATGGCACCCTCCCCAGAGCCCTTCTGTGTCCTCATCCTTCCCACGCGTCTGCAGTCAGGTTTCACTGAACTCGAGGCTCCCAGGCTATGCAGCCTCAGGCCGTGCTCCCCAGAGGACAAGGCCCAACCGGGACACAGCACGGGTGGGCAGCACGGCCTGTGGTGCCTGGGGGCAACGTGGGTGCCCTTGCTGTCCCATCTCACAGCACCCGGGCCTGGCAACTGGGCCGCAGGCCATCTGGCATGAAGGGGGAAGTCACACACAGCATGCCATGTGGGTGTGGCCAAGGCCACGCGTGCCTGCGTGGGCAGGAAGGGTGCCCCCACCTGCGTGGCCCATTGGGAGAACCCACACAACCTCGAGAACGCCCCTGGAATATTCACCCAGTGAGGGTGTGTGTCACGTTGGCAATGTCTTCTCCCGAAAGCTCTCTGAAAGTTTCTAACATGATGGAAGCATACCATCTGATCAGGGAGCGCAGACATGATCACTCCATCATGGGATGGGAAATTACCAAATCAGATAGGCCTCGCTTTTTGAAAAATTGCCGTGGCTTTGCTGTCAGTTTCCAAAACTGTTTCCATCCCTGCTCACAGCGGGAGAGGCCGGCGAGTTCACACCACAGCCTGCTGCTCCTGCTGTCCGCCGCGGCAGCCCGGGGGCAGAGCGTCCGTTTCTAGGAGGGGACAGTTACGTAGACTTTTACACAAAACTGCCTTGTTAGTCCCTAAAAAGCAAGTCCGGTAGGTTTGCAGTGGATTTCATTGTCGTAATGTGCGCCCTAATCCAGGTGAGCTTTCTGCCCTATTAAAATATCCCAAATATCCCAGGAGGGAGATACCACAGGGACAGCCACCATCCCCCCCTCCTCCATCTCTTCCTGTCCTCAGTTTTGGTGACAGTGGCTGGTGGGTGCAGTGGGCCTTCCTTTTGCACCTGTTGCACGTTAATTGCAGCGTCTTCAGCTACAGTGTCGTAAAACATCTGCACCACGCCGTAGGGATCTGATTTTTACGGCACGTTGGGAGGTGTTTCCTAATCAAATTTCTGAGGATGGCTTTTGACATTTCCCAGTAAAGCTTAACCTACATCCCCCTCTGGAAGGCCGCTGTCTTCTCCCCAGCTGTGAGTCAGTTTTGAGGTGTTCAACCTGATGAAAAGGCAGCTCAGATGCCGTTGTGTGGTGGCTCCGTGTAGGGCCCGTGAGAACTGTGGATGCAAATGGGGTTTTAGGGGTTCTCTTCCTGCATCAGTGCAGTGACTGTTTCAGGCAGTATCTACTCTTTGTGCCCTTTGAGGAGAGTAAGTCCTTGTCTTCTCCCCGCTGAGGTGGATTCTGCTCCCTCCATGCACACATGTGAAGATGGGAGTGGTGCGTCGGTGGGCGCCGACTCTGCTCGCTCCCCGTGTGTGCAGCTCCCCTTTTGCTGTAAAGACAAGCTCCACTGACTGACGTGTGCAGCATGGCAACACTCTCCCCCACCAGCCTTTCGTGACGCCAGCAGTTTCTCACTCTGCAGTGAAGATGCCGTCGCTGGTTAGCAATCCTGCTTGTGGCGATATTCAGAGACATTTATTGTTCTGCAAACCAGCGTGACTCTCTTCTCCTGCTATTAATCTCTATGAGTGTCTCTGTTCCAGTATGACCTCAGTCACTGCAATGTATAAAGTAGTATCACATGGGGTATAAAACCCTGATGTGTAAAGTCCACACATCGACACCCCGTCACATGGCAAAGCCAAGACTGGAGGTGAGCACAGCATCAAGCAGGAGGGTTCTACAAGCACCAAGTCTTGCCCTTCTCAGCGTCCACATGCCTCCTGTGCCAAGGGCTGCCAGGCGGTGGTGGCCTCCTGCGGCCTTTCTGTGGGCTCCACCGTGTGCAGTGACCTTCGACCTGAGGAGGAGGCTGCAGCAGGACGCGCGGCTACGGTGCCCACAGACGCCTCAAATTACAGCACAGATATGCCAGAGAGATTGCTGCAAGAAGCCTTCAGCTGCGTAGTTTACTATCATTCAGATTGACAGGCTCCCAAATTCCCATTAGAAACATCATTAGAATGGGCTGGGAGGATGAAAAGGTGACCCAGGGACTTGAGGGAGGAAGAGCCCTGGCCAGCAGTGAGCCATCGCTGCTGTCAGTGTCCTCAGGATGTTTCCCTTTGGCGCTGACAGCCACGTCCCAGCCGGAAGCTGCACACATCCACTCCAGCCCAGACGGTGCATCGCTGAGACTCGCTCATTGAAAACATCCCTTATATTCAGGCTGAATAGAGTGATTGTGCATTTAAGGGGGGGAGTGAAAAATGGACTTGGAATGTTAGAAAACATCGTAAAGCTCATTGTGCATTAATTCCTTAGGTGGCTTGCAATAAGCAGGAGCACATGCTGGTTCATATTACCGCATGTGCTGTCGGCATGGGTTTCTCTTCCCCAACCAGAGTAAGGGATGGCTTTTGCCATGCAGGGGTTTCCTCTATCCTAGGAGCTTGATTTCTCCAGAATTTTCCAGGAAGGACTCGCCAGCCAGTGTAAGGTGGTTGGTCAGCATTCCTGGAAGGCTGTCTCCCCAACCCAGCAGGAGAGGATGGTCAGTTTCCCAGTATATTGAGTAGAAAACTCCTTACGGCCCACCCCTCCACAAAGCACCCTTCCTCTTCATCCTCAGACAGAATTTGCTAAATGCAGTTCAAAGGCAATCGATACATTGCACAGAGAGTCTCCCCACCTTTTTCTAAACAAATGCATTCCTGAGGAGTTAGTTTATTCACAGATTGCCATGAGCGTTAATGACCCCCCGAGTCTTGTTCTGCCAGTCACCCAGATGGCTGCTGATAAAGACTTAGCATCATGTTCTAAGTGTCAGGGTTGTCAGTGGAGCTGAACCATTTGACCAGAAGAAAAAAACGCACAGGGAGCTATTGATTACAGCTTCTCGGTGTCACTTGTTCACCAGGATTTAGGTATTGATGAGGCTGCAAGTGAAAACAAGCTCTTTCCCTTGTGGGCTGCTGCCCAGAAGAACAAAGGCGAAGTTGGAAAAAATATTCAGCTGGTACCAGAATCAGAGGGATTCCATCATTGATTGAAAGGCCCCTTCATGTTATTTTTGTTGGAAACAAATCTATGGGTTTGGAAGTTTTATAGCATTTGAGAAAGGGGCTGCATAAGTGATGGATTCGCGTATTGGATGAATTAGATTTCACAGCATGAAGATTTCAATGCAGCTGTGATATTATGAGCTTCTTGGTTATTGATAAAAATTACATTTTATGCAGCACATGCTTTAAAGGAGAGGACATAGAGGGTACGGATCCTTTGAAAATGTCCTTAGGGCCCCGATACATTTCAGCAGGTTTCATTATTTTAATAGTCTGAAACCTGCCACCAAAATTCACACAAACAGAAGCAGCGTTCCCTATTTCTAATGGTAAAAACAGTGCCTGTTTGGTAAGTCAGCTCTTCCCCATCACAGCGTGCTAAGGTGAGGACTGGTCCTAGCTGTCGGGGTCACTGTTACTCCGTGCTGTCTGTCCTGGCCTCTGCATTGATGTACAGGAAGAGGGAGAGGGAGACGCGTTTATTTTACTCATTTTTATAATTTCATAGCTCATGAAGAGGGAGAGAAGAAAAACCGAAGCTCTGCTGTGAAGTCTGCTCTCAGGCAGGAAACTGAATTGGTGCCTAAATGTTTATAAACCGAGACTGAATTAAATGCCTCCCTCTTTATCAGCCAAAAAGGTGAATTTGTATTATCTGATAGTGCCCTCACAGCAATTATTAATGGCACTGTTGTATTTGATAAAAATCGTCCATCAGGGTAAATATTCCATCCTGGAGATTTCCTGTGACTCCTTCCGGAAGACGGGTTCTCGGCTGTTCCAGAACTTGGCAGTTACTACACCTCACTCTATTAAACTCAACGCTGGAAACAGTCAGCCCTCTGCCACCTGCGTGTTCCCATGTCATAGTCGTCAGAAGCCTCTTAGACTGCGTCATTGGTGCATGTTACCATGGTGACCCAAACTCATCGTCAAATCAGGACGAGCTGCGTGATATGTGGGAAGCCAGAGCCCCATCTTGCAGCCATGTCATCTGCCGGCACCGGCTGCCATCCCACAAGGTCCCACCTCAACAGTCCACGTCAGGGAGGAGCAGTGTGGCGCGTGGAGCCATGCAGGAGAGTGATTAGAGCCCCTTCTTTGCCACTTAGCAGCCTTATGAACTTGGGCACGAGACTCCATTCGGCTGGAGGCTGACAGGCCTGGTGGGGCCTTGCAGGGGTGATGAGGGCCATAGCTGGGGTGGAAGATGCAACAGCATCAGGCACAGGCACACCTGCTCCCAGGGGCTTTAAGCCCCCTTTCCAAGGGGGGCTGGGGCTTCCCCCACCTCCCTCAGGGGCGTGTGTAGCTGGGTCCCACAGAGGGCTACTCAGCAGATGAAACCTGTGTGGCAGGTCTGTGTGTGGCAGTGACACAAGCTGCCTGCCCCGAAAGCCTCGGGGGATGCAAGGATAGGAATCGCCTCCCTAGGAAGCAGAGGTGCCCAAGAAATAGAGCTTGGAGACGCTGGACCCACGCCCCCAGCTGCTTCCTCTAAAAGCTCACCTGACCAGTAACTGATTGCTTTGTCCAGTTCACTGGCTTTGAAGGGTGGGGTGTGGGGAAGCTGGGCATGGGCTGAAATCATCTCTCTGTTGAGCTGGGGATACGTGGAGAGAAAAAGAAGAGTGGAGTTGGAGTGATACCCAGGGGTACCCGGAGTGATACACGGGGGTAGCCTGGACATACCTCATCCTTGGGATCCTGTAGGAACGGATGTTTTTTCTCATCAGGGTAGGACGCTGGGAGCAGGGCAGCCATGTGTGAGGGCCCGGGGAGAGGCCCCAGGTCTGCAGCATCCATGTATGGGCCATCTGGGTTGTGGGGATGAGTGGGCTGCCCTCCAGCTCAGGATGCAGGAGGAAGGGGGGCCAGGCAGTAAGCAGTCCCTAGTCATCTCCCATGTGCCCTCCACATGTTGTGCCAGCCAAGAACCTTCCAAAGCAAGCTTGGTGCCCTTCCCCCTTCCTCTGGAGCCCGCACTGGCTCCTATGGTTATGCTCATTGGCAGTTTACCTTCTTCACGGAGCAGTCACTGTGATGCTTTGCACGGTGATGAGGCATGTCCCCCAACACATCCGCCGAGATGTCCTGGCCCCTTAGTGGCTGCCCACCCATGCACCTGCTCCCCAGGTACCATGAGCTACTTAGGGATGAAGGCCATTGCCCGGGAGGCTCTCCGGCCGATTCTTGCCTTAGAAATCTGTGCAAGACTTCCCCACATGCTCCTGGGAAGCTGTTCTGGGGAAGCTCTTCACAGTAACTGCTTGTTGGGATGCTTAAGCACATGGCCCTGGAGCCCCTGGAGTCCCCTGCAGTGGCCATGCAGGCTGTGTGGCCATCCCTGTCTGCCCAGGCAGAGGGGCACAACCAGAGAGATGCCCATATGTTACATCCCTGTCTTCCACCTTTCTGAGCCAACTGAGAAATGGATAGCAGACCTCAAGATTTTAGCTTTATTAGGATAAAAGCAAGATTGAAGGGGGTGGGTGGGGGGCCAGTGGCATGGCCATGGTGGCTTCCCAGTAATTGCCACAAGAATTACACTCACCATCATTGTCCCCTCTGGCTAAGCTCAGGCCCCCCAGCCAGGGCAGGGGCTGACAATCTCAGAAGAGATCAGGGCGCCCAGAGCCCTGGGGCAGACAGGTCACCTGCAGGAGCCCTAATGGTGCTAAGCTGGGCATACCCCTCTTCCTCCCTTATCGGTGGTCAGTGACTCATTCTCCTTTGTGGGAGTGAGAGTGGAGGAGGCCAGCACCAGCATGGAAACCAGAGGCAGGGGCCACAGCACCTGCCCCCACCCACCACAGGTGGCTCTCAGAGCTTCAGCCGGACAGTGGACCCATGGAGCTCCTCCTGTCTACACAGCTCGGGCAATGCCAAAGGACCAAGGCAGAGTCTCCCTGAGGACTGCACTGAAGGAGGCGCCTGCCCCTCTGGAGGGAACAGGGATTCCCTTCCCCTGGTGGGACTGACCATAAAGAAGCAGTTGGTAGGCAGGATCCGGGGCCTGTGCATGGCTGCGTGGTTGTAGTCCTCACTCTGGATCAGCCCCTATCAGCACAGGGCATCCTGAGTTTAGGTCAGCCACAGATCCGGATCGTGCTGGCTCCAGGCTAGGAAATAACAGGTTGGGCACTGCCGGAGGCTACAGCCAGAGGCCTGTCCCTGGGGGCATGGGAGCCACGTGGGAGTCACTGCCTGCAACTTGGAGCTCTCTGGAGCCATGCCTTCACCCTTTCAAGGTGGTGCCAGCCCTGGCCTCACGTGCAGGATGAGGATGGCAGCATCTTGAGCTGTGGATGAGTTTGGGTGAACGTGCAGATGGCACCTTGAGAGCATCGCTGCCTTGGGTCCCTGGGTGGAGCCCTTTAGACCGTCGCTGCTTCCTCTTTGGTTGGGTGGGGGTAGTTTTCCTTGTGATGCAGGCTCGATTTTTGAAGCTCCTCTGCTAGTTTAAGACCGGTGTGTGCTCAGCATCACTCTCAGGTGAACGGCTGGACGACAGCTCTGTCTCCCCGAGCTCCTGAGTGGGGAGGCTGCAGCAGCCTGTGGGAGGGCTGAGGGCAGGGAGGCGTACTGGCTCTGGGTCCCTGCTGGGACCCAGTGGAGGAGCTGAGCATGCCCTGCCCCCAGTGGGGGTGACCAGGGAGCTTCTCAGACCCCTGCAGGCACCCCAAGACTACAGGGGGAGACACATCCCGCTCCTGGGCACCGCGTGAGGCAGGGGTTGGCCAAGTCCTCCTGTCAAGGGCCATGAGAGTAAATATGTTGGGCTTGGCAAAGCAGCCACAGCCGGTATGGAGAAAAAGGCGTGGCTGCGTTCCAGTAAAGCTTCATTTACAGAAGCAGGTGGTAGGCGGCATGGGCCCACAGCCACAGTTGGCCGGCCATGGGCTGGAGAGGCCTGTGCAGGTACGGTCTTCTCTGACGTTTCCTGTGATGCCGGGGTGGTGTCTGGGGGGCGTTTGAGAGCGTCACATTCCACCAGAACTTGGAAATGTAGTTTTCGGTTTTGTAAGTGAACGTTGTAAATTACTCACCGGCTGAAATTCAGTTTTCTCCTCCCAAATCTTGGCATAAAGTGATTCTCTGAAGATGCCCCATGCCACCTCAGGGCATTCGTCCCTCCCCCAGCCCATGCCGAGACCTCCAGGGACTCAAGGGCCTCAGGGGAGGGGGAGTTCATGCTGAGACATTGCTGGCACCCACCCATGCCAACAGCCTGCCCCCGGCACGGGCCCCTGCTTGGTGGGTACAGGACTCCTGTCAATCAGGGCCTTGGCCTTGACCCCAAAGACCACCTTGTCCAGATCCCTGGCTGACGGCGGCTGCCTCCCTGTCTTCCAGGTCCCCATCCTCATCCCCTGCCACAGAGTGGTCTGCAGCAGCGGAGCCGTGGGCAACTACTCCGGAGGACTGGCCGTGAAGGAATGGCTTCTGGTCCATGAAGGCCACCGGGCAGGGAAGCCAGGCTTGGGAGGGAGCTCAGGGCTGGCAGAGGCCTGGCTCAAGAGAGCAGGGGCTACCTCGGGCTCCCTGCCTGCTGGCCGAAACTGAGTGTGTGCAGTAGGATGGATGTTTGAGCGACACACACGTGTAACACTGCATCAGACATGGGCCGTAGGCACCACTGTATTAAAGGAGGTAACAGTGTCCTGGGAACAAGCGTGTCTGCCCTCTCTGTTTCCGTGTTTTCCAGCAGGATGAGTTCAGACGCCCGCAGTCCTGCACACATTTGTTTCCTTCTCTAACGCCGTCCTTGCTCTATTTTTCATGTCCATTAAAACAGGCCAAGTGATTGGGGAAGGCCTGGCTCATGTTGGGGCCACAGCCCAGGATGGGACAGTCTGGCACCGTCAGGCCACAGACGGCTGCCACAGCCACTGTCCAGAGCCAGCTAAGGCCTGTCCCAGGCCGTCCACACTAGAAAGCTGGCCCTGCCCCAGCACATCCCCACCATGCCTCCCTTCCTAGCTGTGTCCACAGCTGTGATGACATTTTCCACTCACAGTTCCTAGCATCCCGCACGCAGGTCTCACTGGAGGAAACGGGAACAGGCCATGGAAGTCAATGCTTACAGAGGTTTTCTAGCTTTGTTTCCTACCTGCCAAAAAAGGCTAATGCAAGATACATCCACTCTGCTCTGTATCCGGTGGGTAGAAAATAACCATTTGCCAAGATTTGGAAAGACAAAGAGCTCTCTGGACACGGGTTCGATGGAGTTTGCACCTCTCTGAGAGCTGAAGTCGAGTCTCACCCTCGCTCCATACTCGCTGGCCTAGTGTGCTCTGGGCAGCTCTGGGCAGCAGGTAGGAAGGGACACGGGCCTCTCATCTCAGGGGCTGCCCCAAAGGGGCCTCAGGGACCATGGGCCTGTTAGGACCCCAGCACCCCAATGTCGATCCTGGAAGTCAAAGGTCACGACTGGTGGGCCAGCTCATGTCACTGATGGCAGCAGGGAGGGTTGCCAGCATGGGCATTGCGCTGCCGTCTGATACTTCATTATCGTGTTGTCATGCTAGCAGTATAATTAACTATATCCAAAAGCCAGAGGGAAACCTGTAGCTCTGCATATGGAGAAATAAAACAGAGCATATGATGTATAGAGAAAATAAACCGCACCCAGCTGTGCACTAGAGTGCCGTGTTCTTAGCCAGCGTTCCTTGCCACGGTGTGAACCACAGCGGGGAAGCTCGTGCGGTTCTATGCATCACCAAGGCCTGGATGAAAACGTGGCCTTACGATGTGTATGGTTGGGACCTGCCTTGTATTTCATGTTGTCTTAACACCAACAAAGGAAAACTGATTTCAGACTTTTTTCGCTGATTTATGATTTATTATATCTCTTTCTGGCATCAGCCAAAATCTAGGTTTTTCCTATGACATGAAGTGATGTGACTCTTACCCCATTGTCTTAACTCTTGGTATTTTTGAAGCAGGGTAAGGCACCCAGCGGGTCACGTAGACACGTGCTGCTTTGTGGGACAGGCCCTGGGCCCCCTTGCTCCCGGCAGGCCTCAGGTGCCACACACCGCGTCACCGTCAGGACTCGCAGGATGTCTGGTTATTTTTGACGTTGCTGAAGGTGAGTGGGAATAGCTGGGTGCGCTGTGCCCCAGAGGTGGTGCCCTGCGTCCCCCACAGATGATGCCCCTCCCCAGTGATGGCCGGTCACCAGGCACGGCTTTCTCTGCATGAACAGAACAGAAGCTTCTGGCTCTCCAAGGCAGCAGCTTGGGGCCTGGTGGCCCGGTGTGCGAGCCGCGAGTGCTTTCCAACAGAGGGCACCAGAGCCGTGCGGTGTGCTGTGGAGACCCCGGCACCACTGTCCCTGCTGGAGGATGGATTTGAAGGAGGGCGGCTGGGCGGCACCCCGATGGCTCCCTGTGCTCCCTGAGACCCTGCAGGCCGCCCTCTGCAGGGTCTCAGGGAGACCAGCAGGCGCACACGCTGCAGGCCGGCTGCCTCCACTGTTTGGGTCCCATGAAGGATGGGAGCCTCCCAGTGAGATCTCCAGGTTTCTAATCAGGCACGGGCTCTGAGGGAGGGTCTTGGGGCCACATGACTGCAGACAGCGAGGACCAAGCCCCCAGATCCAGGTCAGCACCTGGTGGCAGGGGACCCGCCCATCAAAGCCGTCCAAGGTGAGCCAGCAAATCTGTGTGGCCTGGGAGCACAGGTGGGCCTGTTTGGGCCATGCCCTTGGTGCAGTACAAAACCAGCTCTGCTTGCTCTCCGAGGGTTTCCGCCGCCGTGTCAGAACAGGCTTGATAGATGCCCCGAGGTTCCCTCTGACAGCCGCAGCAGCAGGGCTCAAACCGGCGGGGCCATGTACTGCTCCAAGGACAAGCTCTGCTGAGGCCGACATGAAAAGCCAGCACGCGGGTCGCCTAGAGCCGCTCTAGCTCCAAGCCGCAGCACCGCTCGTGAAAATACAGAGGGAGAGAGAAGGCACAAAGAAATACAAAAATATTTTCCAAATAAAAAGAAATGTCGAAACAAGAAAGCTGTGTTCTTCGGCCTTGGCCCCGGGTCCCCCTCACCCTGTCGCATTTCCCAGCACCATGATGCTTTGAAGACTGACACCGAGACCCGCCGTGGCGCGGCAGCCACTCAGACCGGCCACATCACGCTCCCCTGTTTGCAGAGAGAATGAGAGAGTCAGAAGTAATACTTGTTTTTGCAGAACCACACTTGTAGCAAAAATAAGTTGCTCTTGGCCAGCAGGAGACTGAGTTTTGTGACGGGTTGTCCTCCCAGTCTCTCTTCCTGTTGGGAACAGAAGTGTCCAGTAAACCCACCCGCACTCCACGTGTCCTGTGGCCGCCTCCAGTGATGAGTCTGTAAGGCCAGAGAAGAAAAGCTGTGACCGTGCAAATGCGCACTTTAGGGTGTTGGCTGATGCGGAATCAGGAAGCCTGGAAGAGCTCTTGCATGAGGAATTGCAGAACTTCTTATGGGCATGAATTTGCACTTCCAGATGTGAAGGTTGCAGGCACCAGGCGTTGCAGAGGAAGTGGGCAAACTCACCTTATAGAGAACTTAATTGGGGTTTGTAATTCGTATACACTTCTTACCCAGCAGAAACAGCTTACTGAACACCCCACGGGTGGCTGGATAATGTGCTAGCGACTGAAACCATCTCTGCAACTTAAGCTTCTCTGGTGCACAGCGCCCCACATGCTTCTCCAGAATCCCTTTTGGAGGGGCCAAGCAAGTCCAATATAGATATGTTTACACTGAAACCACCAGTTTTGTTTCTTAAATCGTTTGTAAACAGCAGTATTATCCTGGGACTTATTTCCTACAAAACTGTAAGATAAGGATAAAATCCCGTCCACCTGAATTGCTGAGAAACCTAAGTGGTGGGGTGACCAACCGGAGCCCTGTGGAGTGGCGGACTCTGGGGAGTCAGTGAGACTCAGGGGGATCGGCGAGATTCTCGCAGCAGTGTGAGGCATCCTCCTCATAGAAATGTGTTTCCAGATTTTGCTGTATCCCCTGACCTGGCCTACAAGGACAGACCAGCCCTGGGGGCCACGTCCCCTCCCTGTCTCATCTGCCGCTCGCCCACCTTGGCTGTCCATGCACCCGTAGCTGTGACCATGGGCAGTGCTGCCAGCTTGGACTTCACCCCATTGGAGCGGGCAGGATGTCACACTGAGCTGATGTGAGATTGTTCATGTTGCTGCAGATCTTCGTGCTATTTGGGCTTCTGACAGCACAGAGGAGGATTCTTAAGTGAGAGAGAAATTGGCTTCATGTAGGAGCAAGGGGTAAAGTGTTTTACTTTACTAAGAAGATTTTACTGAAACACCAGTTCCTAAACGGCTCTTGCTTCGGCCACAGCTGCTGGGATGCCCTTGGGCCTCACCTGTCTTGTCTGCATGTCTTCTTGTTGCTGTCGGGGCAGTGTTGTCCCCGGAAACAGTCCAAGGCTCTGGGGTGGGGGATTTAAATTTTTTGGCTTCCCTCAGACCTCAGACCATGTGGGGTTTTTTGCTTGCTTGCTTGCTTGCTTTCTTGTTCATGGGCATTTGATTAAAAGTTTGTGTTTAAAGAGCTGAGCTTCACATCAGTTTTACTTATCAGTTTGAAAGACATTGAGATCTAAACACGGCTCTGCCCAAGACCTCTGCCAAGCAACCCCGTCTTTCTGTCTGTCTGTCTGAAGGGACAGGAAGGTGGAGAAACTGCAGGTACTGACCTGTCTTTAAGCCACTGAGGGCAGCCGTCCAGCGTCCTCAGGACCCCATGGCTCCAGCTGCTGACAGATGGGAAACGTCTGGCCTCCATCACCGGGGTCGGCCCCGACAGGGATCTGTAATGGGGGCAGGGGTGGAGGTGGATGAGAAAGTAGGAAGTGGATGTTGGGCAGCGAGGTGCGAATTGACGGCAGAGCCCAGCCCGACAGCACCTTTGATTGATGAAAGGACATTGTTAACAAGCCTTTAAAGTTTCTCATTAATGTTTTTTTTTTCGTTGAAAAAAAAGCCACCAGAAAAAAATTCCACATGGACAGTAATTAAGATCGATCCCGTACAGTATGGTATCAATGTTGGGAGCCTTTAGGAAAACATTATCCACCCTCCTGTTAAAGACTTCTATTCGAGCTGCCATTTTCCGGGCTGTTGAGAGTCCCTGGCAGTGTGGGGACGTGGGCAGTGAGGCACGTTCCGCAGATGTGATGTGGTCAGCCTCACAGATAATGTTTCTCCTGTGGCCTGAGGATGCAGAGCAGAGCCCGAGCTTTGGTTGTCATGGACTCTGATGCAGTGCGGGGAGGAAGGGTGGAGAAGGATCTCATGGATCTGCTGCCATGGAGAAGCTGGAGTTCTCTCAGCTCTGAGTGAGTCCCAAGGAGTGCGTCTGAGCGGAGTGCACCTGGTGCCCATGGTTCTCAGCAGAGATGCTCAAGCCCTGGGGCAGGGGGGCCGTCTCTTCTTGTTTCTGCCCGGGGGCTGAGCCAGCCCCCCCATTATACACACAGCACCACACATGTGTACACCCAATAGTTCTTTCCAAGTCTTGAGTTACACGGCACTGCTGTTTGAACCCCGAATACCAGCGGAACACGTGCTTCCAGGTTCATTTGTTGACTCACATTAAGAAAATCCAGCTGGAGAAAGTATCAGGGTCCTAACGTTAAACAACACGTGATATTGT